TAGCTACCCACACACACTTACACATAATCACTGCCATCCGTGGTAAGCGTTAGGCTCCTTCTCCTCTTTTGAGAGTTCTTCGCCAATATGAAGGGAGTCTCGGAAGATCGCAATTGGCTGCAGATTTGCATAAAAGTGCCACAAATTGAATGTGTCAGCAATTAAGAGTTTTACCTATTTACCTCATTACAATAACAAATGTTGCTGCAAATCTGTAAAACAACAACTACAACAATTCTTAAGTACAATACCACGCATTATGGATTCTATTGTTTTTGTTGTTAATTTCAAGTGGTTAGACACTTCACGCAGGGGTTCATTAGTTAAGTATTTGGAGATGTCTTCAGACGGGCATAGATTTGGCCACTGTCAGAACTAAATAATTTTTTTTAAAGCAGTCATTGGCACACATATGTACCTGGGACGTGCGGTCTACCTTCGATATGGTGGTTTTCTGACATGCTTAGTACATTTCACATGGAAAAAATAATTTTTTCGTATCTGAATACGTGGTTGACAAACTCGCGGCCACAATTGCAACAAAAAAGAGAAGGAGAAAGAGCTGAAAACGGGATTGGAGGAGAAGGAGGAGGAGAAAGAGCTGAAAGTGGGATTGAATTATTCTGGTTATTCTGGTAAATACTTCATTTTCTTAAAGACAAAATTCACTTTCTTGAATTATAGTCCTCAACTATTCAACAAAAGACAACATCAAAACAAATACCTATATCATCAGGCCTGCAAAGAGAGATTTTTTCAAACTGTAACTGTGGAATATGCTGAAAGTTAAGAGCCATCAAAAAGCTTAAAATGAATATAGTTTTACGTTAAGTGAATCCAACATCAATTCGCTGAAATATAAAACAAATATACATTTGTAGATGTTCAGATGCCTGTAGCATACTGTATGGGCCATACATAGATAACGTGAAACACATACATACTTATACACATGTTTAATTTTGTTTTGTTGTAGCTTTTCTTTGAAAACAGAAACAGAATAATTTCATTTTTTTTTTTTTTTTTGGTTTGCGACCTTAACCCCAATTTTAGGAGAATTTCCAAAAGAAAAAATCTATAAACATTCAAATTTACTTTTGAATGGTCGATGTTAACTGCAGAGGCGTAGGTAGATATAATTAATGGAGGAGTCTCTTCTAATATAATTTAGATTTATTTATATCTCCCCTTCGGATAAACATATTTGCAAAAGTAAACACTACATTGTTACTGTTCTTTTGGAGACACAAAAAACGGGGAGACGTAAGCAGAAGACTATTCCAATACCTCGACAAATCTTGAAAAGTTTTATTTAGGATAAAAAGGCCTTTAGACGCATCATTAATTTATATAACAAAGAACGCAATCTTACCATATTAAACCATAGGCTCTACACTACAATTTAATAGTTAACAAGATAAGGTGTAATTGCTGTAAATAAAGTAAATGTTTTCAAGGGTTTGAAACCACCTATCAAAAATAGATGAGAGAAGAACAATTTTATTATATAACCAGCAAGGAAAGGTCTAAAGTCGGGCGGAACCGACTATACGATACTCTACACCTCTACGTGTATTTACTAGAGCTCTTGTAAAAAAAGTTTATATTGGGAATTTATGTGAGGTAGATCATAACAACTATGAACCTTATTTGGATGCGAAGCATGTCTTTAGAGTAGTCACAATTTTAGAACTAAGTCCAAAAAAAATTGACGAAGACTTTCGTGGGTCTAATACCAAATGACATTGCTGTATAGTGGTGCATGATATGAGTTTGGTAAGAATTATGTTAAAAAATATTTATTGGAGAAATAGATAAACCGGAACGAGTCTCACCAAATGGTAAAAATCTATTCAATTTGGGCTGATATTACATATATGGTGGATAATAGCCGTAAAATCGGATGAAGATGTATATCGAAGCTATATAAAAATCTGAATCGATCTCGATAAAATTTGGCAGATGTATTCTCGAGCAGTATCTGATGCCCGGTATCAAATATTATTGATGTGGAGTGCATATTACGCATGTGAGGACTTAAAACCCCCCAATGGGAGCTATAGCTATATTTGATCCGATTTTCACCGAACTTGAAGTACATGTTTCTAGTATGAATTCAGTCGAAATTGCTAAAATTCAGTTCATTTCATTTCATATTATCCATTTGTTGAATAAAAAATCCTGAAATCAGATAAAGATATAAATAGGAGCTATATCAAAATCTGAAATGATCTTGACAAAAATTTTAGGCACCTATTTCTGAGCTGTTTCTGATATCTGGTACCAAAGATAGTTGTTGTGGAGTGCATATTATGCAGGTGAGGGACTTAAAACCCCAAATCGGATAAAACATATAAATGGGATTTATAGCTATATCTGAACCGATTTCCAAATTTGATGTACTTGCTCCTAGCTTGAATTTGGTTGGATGTGTTAAAATTCAGTCCATTTGGGTTGATATTGGCCATTTGGTGCACAATTAACCCGAAATCAGTTGAAGGTACATATGGGAGCTATATCTGAATATATCCTTAGGCCAAACAAATATTGTTTGGAAAATTTCATCCCATTCGGATAATAAATGCGACCTGTATTTTGTTCACAAAAATACATGGACAAACGGACAGACAGATGGACGGTCGGACTACCATGCATAAATCGACTCAGAATGTGATTCTATGAAGATCCTCAAAAATGACTAATACGTTTTCTTCTCTATGCTACAAACATATGGACCAAGACATAAAACTCTAACCACCTTGTGGTGTAGGAGTTGCAGTTAAGTGGGGACTATACCAAGTAGTCAACATATGTTTGAAAATTATTCTAAGAACCAAAAGAATCAAATAGCTGCATTCTTTTGAAAAATGTTTATTAAACCTTCAACATTTTTAAAATATTTCCGTTTCTAAGTTCCCTCAATATTACGAGCTCCATCAAGATTTCAACAGACAAACAGGTTTGGTATATTTACGGACTATACTTGAAGGGATATCCTTAATAGTAATATACCTATTTCGGAATTGTCTTCCAAAGTTCAGACTGCAATTATTTATACAGTATAATAATTCCACATCGTAGAACCAAATCGTGATTCCATCGACTTTTCCTAATAAACAAATTAAAATGCCGGTGCTATGTTTCTCCCTATAATTTCGCCAATGCAAATCGATAAATATCTTCCATGACATATTCCGCAGTTCCTGCCTCTAATTGCCTATGTCAAATCGTTGATATCGCTGCCAATGGATATGACCAGCCGTTGCACTGAACCAAAGCTTTGTGAAGTTACTCACGAGCGAGATCATCATTGTTTGAGTTTTGATTTGAAAAAGATATTGATTGAATATCGTGGCAGGGCTGTGTAATTAAGTTTCCGTTCGATTAGTTGGCAGGGTGGATGGATGAATGGCTGGTTAATAAATAATTAATATTAAAATGAGCAACAACCACTTTACTACCCTTTCCCGATTAACATGCTTTCGTAGTTATTGTCATCTAACGATGTATGTTTGTATGCCTTAATGACAAAATCGTCGAAGTGATGGAATAGAAACGTGATTTTTGTATAACATCGCCACGGCACGGCACGTTTTCACACAAAAGAAAACACACAATTTCAGATCGTTGCGATTTTCCGCAATTTCCAAAGGGGCACGACAAACACCAAACTGTATCTAGATATGTAATTATATTCCAGCCAATTATTATTTAAAGATGCTGCGATGTAATTGAAAAGGTAAAGAAAAAAATACAAAATGTGGGCAGGAATGTAGTTTATAAATGCATGTTTATCAGCTGCATGCTTTGCATACGCTTCCTACTGCTTAGCATAACAATGCAATTTGTTTGACATTGTGACTTATTTCAAGAAAAAATGAATAAATGCAAATTAAAGAATAGGAGAGGTACTTGATTGTTAGCAATGTGATTATTTATTTTATTTATTTATTTTTATTATTTATTTATTTATTTATTATTATTTTTTTTTTTTTTTTGTAGGAAAAAATTCACAATTTGTGCAAATTTAATATTTTTGATTTGCGAAGTCAGATTTTAAATATAAAAACTCGTTTTCGATACTAAAAATTTTCGTCAAGTGTTAACACATTCAGAGACCTATAAAAAAAATTCTATGACAAGCATTTCTGCTTTCGTTCTAGAAGATATTTTCACCTCTCAAAGAAAAAGAGACCCAAATAATCCCTTCATTACTCCGAATGGTTATGTGCAATATTGGCATACAACATATTCGAGTGTACGGACATTGCCCCGCCCATTTAGATTACTCATCGTAAAATTTCTCAACCCATGATAGAGTGTATTTATTAAAAAAAAATTACCAATAATATTTTTACTATGCTCCGGCCAAGCATTGTCTATAAATATTTATCTGAATTGATAGAAAAATATAAAATCCAGTTTAATGATGTCGTTTAAAACAACATGAGAGGAGAGAGGAACGGAGCGTTAATTAGAAATACATCCTCAGGCTTTTGTTTGGTTTGGCAGTTGAATTGAAATCGTGCAACCGAATTCGAAAATTGTTTAACACTTTTTTTGCGCATGCAGATTTAGTTGGCGCTAATTATAATTGATTTGCCATACCCTTTCATTATTTTCTCAATTCGAAACGATAATAACGATAAGGTTAAGGAAAAATTCCTTTGATTTTGAGGAAACCAGAAATCGCACCTGAGTCACAACATCTCTATTTATATTCATTTGTTTTCCAGCTATTTGGCCAAAACAAACTCTGGTGTCATGCAAACCCCCCGCTAAATTGGCATTAATGAAGATGGAGCTGATAAAAATAGTGAATCATGGTGGTCATTAGCCACAATAATCAAAATAATTATTATTCAACGAATTCTTTTCAAATACATCCGAGTATAATTTCTTTAGAAATTGTCTTTTTGTCCAAACCACTTCTTGGCCGGTGTTTGCTTTTGTCATTCGTTATCAAAAAAAAAAAAAACCTTCTACGTTTACTCACTCACCTGAGCATTGATGAAGAAATTCCGATACGACAACAGTAGCGACAGCACAACCGTTGACACGAACCAGTTACGGTTGGACATGGTTGCCGTTTGTTGAAAGCTGAAAGTCATAAAAGAATAAAAACAAAACAATTTAAATTCATTCATTTGTTAACAAATAATTAAAAAGAAAATATACATTTATTCAAGATTTCGATTTGTTAAAACATATGAAAGTGCTTTGGGTGGACGTTGATTGAATGGCGCCCGCAAAGTTCAATCCATTTGATCTTTGTTGTTGATTTAAATAAGTGAAATGGGCATAATCAATCAAGCCAATCAATCGACCCACAAGGTGGCGTTGGAAAACAATAAATATTTTTAAATATAAAAATTTAAATTATAGAATACATGTGAAACAATCAGTCTTTGTGCAATAACAGTTATCTCAACATTTTTGTGAAAAAATAGACAGATAACAAATTAATTGAGCGTCATGGGCTCCCCTATTATACAGTTCACCAAATTTTCTGGGCATGGTCTGGAGTATGGAAGAATCCAATTTAATGTCATCCGGTGTAAAATTAAAACTCTCAAGAGAATTTTGGGTCCTCATACCAAATTTTGACGTTCCTTTATATAGTCTGACTCAGAGACAGAGGATGTTCAATATTTTGCTCCATGCACCGAAATATTTATGATAGAGCTTTGACATTTTATAGAAATCTCCAGATTACATTTAGAACATTGGTACAAAAATATGAATCATATCGGTCAAACTTTCGATATAGTCTCAATAAGAGGATATATTTCGATATCAAGTGTTTCTTGCGTTTTAAACAAATTTTACAAATTATTTCGCAAAATGATCGCATTTTCAGTTCTTAGTTATCAGAAACCCTTAAAAAAATTATCAATATGCGTTGGTGTGACCCTTATATGAAGGTACTTCCTGATCTTAGCTACTTCGAGGGTCTTGAACACATGTTCCCATTAGTTTGGCTCTTATTTGGTATTTTGACCAAAGCTATTTCAAAGACATTGGCCATATTTTTCAATTAACCGCTGAAAATGTGTTTCTTTGTTTTTTATACCCTACACCACACTGTGGTCAGGATATTACGTCTTTGTGCATTTGTTTGTAACGTAGAGAAGGAAGCGCGTTAGACCCATAGTTCCTTTTGACGATCTGCATAGAATCACATTCTGAGTCGATTTATGCATGTCCGTCCGTTCGTCCGTCTGATCATGTATTTTTGTAAACAAAGTACAGTTCGCATTTATTGCCCGATTGAGATTAAATTTTGCAGAAAATATTTGTTTGGCCCAAGGACGAACTCTATTGGGATTAGAGATAATCGGTCAAAGTTAGATGTAGCTCCCATATATATCTGCTTCCGATTCGCCTTTTATTGTGCACCAATTGTTTAATATTAGCCCAAGTAGGATGGAATTTGGCACTTACAGCCAAATTGAGCCTGGAAGCAAGTGTGTCAAATTTCGGTTGACATAGCTATAGCTCCCATATATATTCTTCGTCCGATTTGTTAAATTCCTTGCCCACAGCTGTAATATGCACTTCGTAACAACGAAACTCGGAGAAATATATTAAATACATCTCAGAAATACTTTTACCAACTTTTGTCAAGACCGGTTCAGATTTGGCTATAGCTTCCATATATCTTTACTCGATTTTAAGTTTTATTGTACACCAAATGGTTAACTGAATCTCATTTGATGAAAATCGGTTAAGATATAGATACAGCTCCCATATATATGTTTTATCTGATTTTGTATTTTACTCCCTCATACCCGTAAAATACTCTACTCAATAACGATATTTGCTAATTTTTTTAGAGATCAGCTCAGATTTGGATATAGGTCTCATATATATCTTCACCCGATTTTACGGTTTTTGGGCCTAAAAATTGCAATATTAGATCGAATAGGATAGATTTTGATGAGTAATACGCATTCAAAAACGATAATATTTGGTATGTTTTTATTCTCATAAATTCTCCATAAAAGCTTTTATTACTTATATGAAGCTCTACTATATATGCAAAGAGGTGTAGGGTATCATTAAGTCGGCTCAGCCCGACTTTGGCCTTTCTTTACTGACTTCTTTTTCTTTTTAGTATACGTCCTTCCTGCTGGTCAATATAGGTATGTAATTAGATAGAGCCCTTATATGACGGTATCTCCCAAATCCACGCTCCCAACCAATATTAGTTGGGTTGTGAACAGTCCGAGATTATTAGGAATCAAATAAAAAAAGTTTTTAAGACATTTCCAATTTTTTTGTTTGGATTTTTTTCCTCAAAACCTTTGTATTTGAAAATCCGAACTACAGCTATATTCTAAAATCGTAAATATCCAACAGTATGCAATTATATCTGCTCATAAAGCTGCAACATGTTCTGAAAAAACCCCAATAACTATCATTTTCAACATAGAATTTTATTTTATTTTTCGATTCAGCAACAATGTTTGAAATTTATCTCTTCCTTTTCGTTGAGATTTTCCCATTTGTCTCTGCCTGCCGCCTTTTGTATGGCATGATTAATTTAATTAATGCCAGTCGTTGTCTTGACTTGGCCGTTGTTCTTTCGACTGGAGATGGAGACTGAAATTTCCCATCGTCTATTCCGAATTGTCAATACAATGGAACATCAAGTCGGAGTTATTTATTTCAAACTTGAAATACTTCTGTCCGTGTTTTGTCAGTGGCATCGGAGTGGCATGGCATGGCATGGCATGTCAGTGCAATCAGACAGCCGAGATGACGATGATGATGACGACAACGATGGTGGCGATGATTGTTCAAAGAAGATTAGAGAACTTTTGTTTTTGTTTTTTGCCCGGTGTATTAGCAATTGTTTTGCATTCTCGCTGAAGTAGAAGCCACCGAGAAGATAAACAAACGGTTCGCAGATTTCCCAAATCCGATAGCACTGTTATTAATTTCCCTTTGTTCGGAGAGATATCTGCAGAATCTTTTGAATATTGTCTTCATAAAAACACAATCGAATAAAGATGGCCATAAAATATGTTAAGAAGGGGAAATCGTGTACTAAATGTACAATTGTATAGGCGGGTCATACGACACATGTTAAATACATATGTATATATAGTTATGTCTGGGGGTATTTTCGTTAAAAATTATTGTCTTGGCTTTTCAACACCTCGTATGACAATGTTATTTGGCGTGTTATCGTGGCATGTTATGGCGTTTAATCTCGCTCGACAAAAGAAAAAATCATTTGTCAGCATTTCGGCCTACGTAAAAAAGTATTCCAACATTCGTTTTTGTTATTTTTGCACATTATACGCAAATTTGCAAATGTTCTATTCAATTCCAAATTTGTTGTTGCCTAATGGTAATGTGAAATGTTTTCAGTCTAACAACAATTAAAATAATTTGTTCAATAAACTAAAAGAATCTTTCAAACGAAAACACTTCCAGTTCAACGACCTGTTTTCAGGTATGGAAATATCAAAAAACAAAAAAAACGGAGCTGAAGATGAATTCGTCGTTTTTAATTCCAAATATTTGTTATTTATCTCAGTTGAAGCCGAATTATCAATTATTCTCATTTTGCTGCTTCATTAGGGAAGGTGTGTACCTGATTTATGGCAAACTACCAACACCTACGAGTATTCCACCAGGCAGTCCGTCACTTCGTCAATCAAATGAAGATACCACCTTCCCCTTCCATTGTAATTTATTTTCAGTCATTGACCAAAATTCAACAATCATTCACAAAATTTATTCACTTTATTTCACTTTGGAGGGACGAGCCGACAACTAATGGCAGACCATTATTTAAAAATATTTGAATTAAATGTAGATGGATCAGCATGAAAACGGAACTTCGATAAAATCGAAATGAACTCATTTCAAAAAATTCAATTAACATCATTATTTCAAAATATCAATTGCGATAATATACTTATTTAAGCCACTCTAATTCAGGTTAATTAGATAAAAAACGGGTCAATTCAAGGCTAAAAAAATTAGATTGTCATAGAAACTGCAGCATAAAAACGGTATACTGAAGAGTGAGAGAGAGAGAGAGAGAGAGAGAGAGAGAGAGAAAGAAAGAGAGCCATGATAGAATTTTGAAATTTTTTTAGGAGATCAATGGGGTGAGTTTCTGTCAGATTTTGGAAATTCGAACATAATTTGTACACAAAGTACTAGAAGATACAGAATGAATGTATCATTTTTTGGATTTTTTGGGAACGGGTAAAGATGTAGTTCTAAAATCTTGAATTTTGAGAATTGGAAAATTTATTCTAAAATCGTACTAAAAATCCTAAATATAAACTGTGTACCCCTAGTATTGGGCACATGGACGAAGTTAGAATATTGCAATGGAGTGGGAATTGGAGGTTCCAAAGAAGTGTTAGTTACCTAAGTCTCATATAAATGTGCCAGATTTGGGTTATACCGACAGCTTCATTCACATTTATATGAAAAAATTAATAATTTTTGGAAAATTAAGAAATGTGCGTAAGGTACCAAATATAGTGGACCGAAGTATTCCACTTCATCTAATACTGAAAAAAAATTGGATGAACATCTAATATTTATTTCCAAGTTTATGCGAATATTTAATCAAAATTTAAACCTTTTTTGTGGGGAGGTGCCAGAAGGAGTGAGCCGATGAATGTTCACATCAGATATCAGGTTACCAAATTTTAGAAGAATCGCTGACTTATTTCGCAAATTATAAATATTGAAAATTGTGACCCTTTGATGGGGAGATACCAAAAAGGGTGGACCGATATCTATCATCTTCACACCAGATCTTGTGTTAATAGAAATATTAGGATGTGTGAAATTTGAAGGGAATCGGATGCTTACTACGCATTCATAAGCGTTTGATAATTCAAAATTTTGACCATTTGTGGGGTGGTACCAGAAGGAGTCGACCAATATATTTCATCTTCACACCAGGTCTTAAGTTAGCAGAAATATTGGGATGTGCTAAGTTTGAAATTATCAGATGCTCATTTCGCGTTTTATGAGTTTCATATTTACTAAAAATTTTGAACCATTGTGGGGGAGGTACTAAGAGGAGTGGTCTGATATATTTCATCTTCACACCAGATTAT